ACAGCCTGGAATGCACTCATGGAAAATGAAAGTCATTATTTTCTGGCTACAAAATGTTTTTCAGGAAGATGGATGCTGCAATCATAGGGTTTTTTTCTTTTTATTTTTTTTAACAAAACTGTTTTGCACTTAAATAGTTTAATGCTAATAGAGAATTACTTTAAAATTGGTGTCCAGGCACCAAAAAAGCTATGTTGTGGAGAAAAGAACCTTTGTATCTATTAAACATTTATTTTAATATTGTTGTTTCCAACTGCAATCAACTCTGTATTATATGTATAAATAATGTAATTCAGTGATGGGGGAGGGGAGTAATGGATCATTACACTAGAAATTCTCATCCATCATTTAAGTGATATTTCTAATTCAGAAAATACATATTAATCTACCTTGAATATGCATTTTGTTTACTTTCTGTTCAAATTTGATCATTTTGATGTAATCAATCCTTTGTTGAATTAAATGTTTGGTACAAAAATATAACCTAAACTTTGTAGAACAAATTCCTTCTCAAACTGCTTACCTGGAGCGTTGCTTCATACTTAATATAGTTTAATTTGATTAGGAAAATGAAACTATTGTTCTGTTTTCATTCTTAATGGTTTATCTCTAATTACATCATCCAGAGGAGGTCTTGCAGGCATGTTTGAGGGGTAAGGATTTTGGAGTTGCATAATACCAAGTAAAATACACATACATATATGTACGCCTAGTACTGCGTTTAGAGGTGAAAGGTGCACCAAGAGTAGCTACACACCTATACCTACCTTGACCATATAGAGTTAAGTTAACCCTTTGGAGTAGCCTCTGCTCAGCTTGTCTTAAACCAGACACCTTGTTTATAATTGAGCACTTTAAAATTGCTAAATGTTACAGAGATGGACTTGCATGTATTTGTGCAGTTTAATACTGCCTGTCTGTTATTGTTAATCGGCTAGCACAGCTAAATCAGTGTAGGTATTTCCTGCAAGGATGAGAAAACACAGAGGATGCTGCCCTATAGCAGGACCCAGACTGGCTGAAAACAGGTATCAGTCATATATGCATACATATATATATGTTTTTATATATATATATATATTTTCTCTCTGTAGCCACACTCCCAGTTAGGCTTTGGCAGTGGAGAGGCGGTGGGGAACTGGAGCTGCTAGCTTGGCAATGTGGATGTGAACACTGAACACTGGGGGCATTTAAGTTATTAAACCTTCCTCTTGGGTAGAGGTGAGGGGAGGGAGTTGTTTTGGGTTTTAATTACAATAAGTTCTAGAACGTCTCAAGCAATGGGGCATACATATTTTTCATACAAACATGAAAAATCACCAAGAAATAATTGTAGGTAGCTGTAACTAAATTGTAAATGGTAATCAAGCTATTTTATTAAATGCAGTTAGCATATGGAAAACTGCCAGATCCATTTATAAGCTGGCCTTTTGTTTGTCTACTTGATTAAAGATGCAACTGTGCTTTACAGATCTCTTATCTACTTAGATTCTTCTGTACTAGCGGGAATGGGAAAAATACTGAAAGTAAGCAGCGTCGTTGTCAGAAGGTATGTTTTATTAACGGATCAAGTTTCACTCTTAAAATATATGTAAATCTCTTCACTGACAACTAGTGTATTAAAATATATGTAAATTTTTCACTGACAGCTAGTGTAGTTACCTCTCTGTAGTGTCCCACGGGTGAGCAATCCGAATGTTCCGAGTCAAAATGAGCTGGTTTAGAAAAGGCGTAAGGGTAAGTTTGGAAAGAAAAATTCCCTAGAGTTGGAAAAATGCCCAGGGCAGCCCTGAAAGGCGGCGGGATGCAGCCGTGCGGGAAGGGCAGCGGCCGCCGCGCGCCCCATGGCCTGCCCCGTACCTGGCTCTGCTCTGAGGTCRCAGGTGGACGGTGCTCGTGGACTGGGTTTTGCTTTGCTAGGTTGTAAACTTCTTGGAAATGCATCTCCTCTGTAGCAACTGGCAAGGGTTTAGCAGCTTGAACAGCCCATCCCAACCTGTTTTTCTGTAGGAAAAAAAAATGCCATTAGGAAGGAGAGAGATATGAGTAACTTTTGTCTGGAAAGAAGTTAGCATTCTACTATAGCTGCTGCCTATATAATTACATATGTTTTTATATATATTTAATGGTTTAGCCACATGATGGGAAACATGATTTTAGCTAGACAAATGAAGGTAATAACAATAGTTGCCAATAAATACCTTGAATATATTTTAGCTGTAAATCAAGTGGCAAAACGCAGTTTGCCTCTTAATCCAACACAGATGTCTAACTGTGCTCTAGAGGCAAATAGCAAAAGCTGTTAATAAAAGCTTATATTTAAGCTTTTATAATAAATGAAAAGCTTATATTTAAGCTTAAAAGCTTGAAAATAAATGAAGAAAATAAAGCAATGTGGTCTGTCACTAGAAATACCTTTTTTTCCCTAGCAGGAGCGATCTGCACAAGGTGAGATTGCTGTTTCCATTCACAGCCCGACAAGCACAAATATGAATRTATGTGAGAGAGCATTTGTGACTTACAAAATATTATTCTGATATCCTTTTATCTCAAAGTAAAGACTTCCGATTTCATTTTTGTGTCCTTATGAACCTGAATGACCCTGAATAAAGTGAAGGACAAAAAAGGAAATCCTTCTTTGTTGTCTGAATGAAGTAGTTACCTACCCGATGTTAATCAGGGATGCAAGCAATCACCGTAATACTTTTCAAAACAGGAAAATATCCTGTTCATACGGGTTTTTCAGAGAATTGGCTGTAATGACTAGTTGCACAATTTGGACAGTAAGTTTGATTCCCTCAACAGCTGAGGAGAAATTGTTACTTACGGAGCACAAGATGCCTCAGATAAAACAAGGAGGCTACTTTTAAACCATGGATTTCCCTGCTGCATGCCACGCTCCATTGAAATTGTAACACGGAGCAACTTGCCACCTTCTCAGGGGGGAAAAACATGCCAGGCTGAGGGTATCCCCTGGGTGGGCTTCCAAAGGAGAATTGGGCRTTACTGCTGCGTTTTGTTGCTGTAGACCTGCACTCCATGATTGAGTTTCCTGTGCTTAACATCAGAGGTGTCTGGTTTTAAAGAAACATACGCTAGATATTCAAGCAAGTACTGGCTTGTCTGCTTGCTGTTGAAGCTCCCTAATAGATCTGAGTGGCAGGTGCTGCTGAGAATGAAAGCAAGGCTGAAGCGAGGAGATACTTAAGTAAAAATGCAGCAGTCACTTTATTGTAACATCCCTCCGGTGCACTGTGAAATACCATTTCAAATAGGTGGGACATATTTTCTGCACAGAATTGGAAGAAAAGTGACCTTTATTCAGTCTAAGTTTCATTGAAATGGAAAATTTAGTGGCAGTTTACTGTTACCGTTATGCTTTTTCCCAATGTTTTTCTGTTTTGCAGGTGACAAACCTGTATAAATGTTTTATTTTTAGTTTTCCCTTCTTTTTTTATAATGCCTCAATCTACTGCTGTAGAACATTTAAGACTCAGTTATGTATTTGATTCATTAGTACTTTGGCACCCTGAAAATGCGAGTGCCAGGCAGTTCAATTTGCAGTTTCAGGCTGTCAGTGCTCCTTGATATTTTCATGTGTATAATTCGTACTTACAATTGTCTAATTCTAATGTCGTATTGGAAAAGTCCTTTTGGTGGCTTTCACAAACACTTTGGAAAATCATAGTAATGCTTTCATCTTTAGAGAACCGTCATGTTGTTGTCACACTGATCCTCAGGATATACAAATAATACCTGCTTCAAAACATGTCAGATAAACACAGCGCCTAGTGCTTTTCATAAAGAACTTCAGTATCATGAGTTTCTGCCCTTGGCCCACACTGAAAATCTACAATCTCAAATTAATGATTAGCTTAGTGACTAGGGATTTTTTTTGTACCTTGTTTGCTACTTCTCAGTTCTTTTAATATTGCCTTGTAAGTAGCAGTGATTGATAATACATTCCTTCTCTTCCCCAAACCAAAAAAGCTCAAGAGTTATTTGCAGTTAAATCTACCCTTCAACCCTAGGTCGAAAACTAAAACAAGACCCTGATCTCTACCAAACATAGAATGCCTGCAGATGTATCACTGCCTCATGATCAAAGTGGAGAAGAGTGAAAAATAGAGGCTGGGAAGCAGCAGAGCAGTGGTTATCATAAGACTAAACTATTTGACTCTATCAAAGTTGATTTTTGTGTTTGTTTTAATGGAATTATTAGATTTTGGCTTCACTGTCCCTCTGACTTGGGTTGGTAGAGCAAAGCAAGGACATACAAGGATGTCCAAAGATGTATAAGGATGTCCAAGGATGTCCAAGGATCTACTTACTGCTCTACGTTTCCAAAGAAGCCCCAGGACATCCCTGATGGCTGGGGGATGTCACCGATCGGGTAATGTCTGTTTTCTGCTTCTGTTCTTGTGTAGAAAATTTCTGAATAGAGACTGAAGTCCCAGTGGTCTCTGATTACTGCTTCAGGAAGTAGGTGAAATAGCTGGCAATATCCCAGTTACAAGCAGAATAACTTTTATGGTAAGTTTAAAATTTCAGGACAGTTCTTTGTAAAAAACATCTCAAATGTGTCCTGGTTGACTTTTTTTTTCCTTTTCAAATGGCAGAACTATTTTGTAACAACCACCAAATGTAATTGCTATAATTTTTAGGGTGTTTCAGCAATTTTAAATTCCAATATCTACCTCGATGTTTACAGCAATAACAAGCAGTAACAAATTGTTATTAATGATCAATCAATGCAGTGATCTGCTCTGTGCAAAATTTATGAAATAAATAAGTACATAAATAAATCTTTCTTTACTCCTTTTCAGCAACCAGCTGCAATATCATTTCCTCCTAAAATTTGATTAGTATTAAGACAATGGCTTAAAAAAACTATGACTAAAGTTTGCTTTTGAATTAGTTAAAAATACTACTTTATCTTTTTATCTACAATTTATATAAAATATCTCAAAGTTACAACATTGTCTGTCAAAAATGGAGTGTCTCAAATGTTTGCATAATCTTAAAGTTCTTAATAAAACTTGAGGCTGAAGCTATTAAATCAAAGAGGTAAATACTAAATACTACCCTTGCTAACTGAAAAATAAGACTTTTTTTACATCTAAGAAAACATACAGAATGACAGGTCAAGCTAGTCATATATAATATGACAACTTCTGTTTTCTATGCAACAGTCCATTTCTACACCTCAAGCTCAAAGAACCCTTTCATGTTACTTTTAATCAAACCCTTCCTTCATCAGGTTCCATCAGGAAAAAAACTGCTCAATATCAAATGCATTCTGAGCTCTGCCAAAACAATGCTTTAATTAAATAGTGCTTGTTCTTGGGAAGAGAATACCAGCGTTGGGGTTTCGCAGACCTTCAGAATCGTGTGGGGTTTTTGCTGCAAATTATTCGTGACACAAAATAAGGCACTGTTCTGGTCAGACCTCTGGCCCCGAAAGCCTGGTGGGGTCGGCTCCACCGCACGCTCCTGCTTTCCCTCCCACTCCAAACACTCCACAGCGGGGTCAGTAACCTCCTCCTCTTCGTTGTATCGCAGGTAAGTGGGAGTGTTTCAGAGAAGACTTAAGTTCCTTCTGTCTCTCAGACTGTTGAGGAAATGATAGAAGTTGTAAATATATTGGGTAAGACATACACTGCTTATTTTCATGAGTAAGTTGGAGTCTGTATGTTATTTGACCCATTAAATTTAACAGATTGTAAAACAGAGTTTTCCTCACTTTTCGTAGTTGCAGTTAAAACTGCATATGAAGTGGTAGTAGGATAGGAAGTCAACTGGGCTACCTGAGAAGGATTTGAGTTTTGCAGATATGCGCAGAGAGGCCTACAGTGACTTTCTCCTCCGGGCTTCCCCAGGAGAATGCTTTTAAAACAAATACTATTCAATTTCTTTCTGAGAACCCTGCTGAAACTCCAATTACTTTTTTTTTAATTATTTTTAAAGTAATACAGATATATTCACATGCCACTGGATGTTTATTACAACTTTTTTCCTAAACAACTTCTTATTAAGCTTATGTTGGTGAACTCCATAACTAAATTGGTGAAAGAAGTTTCCAGAAGGTAATTTGATGCTTTCCAGGCTAATTGCATGACAGGAAAACATTAGGAATTCTTGTGCTACTGTGATTTGTTTTCTTGCAGCTCAAATATAAACAAGTTTTAGTAGGCCAAAATTTTAATCAGATCTTAATTTGCTCATTTCCATCGTCAAATATAAATTCAGGTTTTTCCTGGCTATCATCTGAGTACACAATAACTAACTAAAAAAACAAATAAAAAACCCAAATGCAAACTTATTTCTTCTAAGTACAGTGTGAAGGCCTGGACAAACAAGCAAATAAAAACGACAAAAACTTCTCTCCCTGACAGAACTTGCACTGTGCAACCCCTTCCCCTGCCCCTTCTTTATAACTTCAGTGGTAGATGCAGGAGAAAGGATGAGGAGCTCCTAAAAGCTGTGGAACCGACCCCTTGACCAGCCACAAGTGCAACAACTCCCTAGTGAAGGGATCCCRTGAATTCAAACTCTTGTTTGTGTGCGTGGATGTGGGGTGCTGCAATCCTACCCAACAAAGATCAATGTCTACAAAGACTGAATGAAACTCCTTCATCAGCTTCAGTAAAACATTTGTTTGTAGTTGACGAGCTCAGTGCCCCTAATTACTTTTTCTAAATGAGTTGACCATTCTTTCATTGAAATATTACCTGTCTTTGCCTYTCCTTTGGAAGTTGCCACAAATGCAGAGGTTCTTGCCCTGCAGTATTTCCTAGTAATCTTACTTTTTTGTGCATGGCCAAAGCTGGTTTATCAGCTGCCCTAAAATTTTTAGAAAAACAAAACAAAGCACATATTCTTTTAGGGGGAGCTAGGGAGATCAGATACAGTAATGCAAATTTTGTAGCTGAAACTGAAATTTCATAGGAAGCTTCACTTCAGTCCACTCTACATAATAAGTACACAGTATTCTCTCCCCAACCCCGCGACTTTTTTAATTTTAATTTTCAAAATTGAAATCACTTGCCAGAGTTCTTGAAAGTAAGGATGCTGCAATGCTTGATGGGCAGCAATTCTCTCATCAGGATCGTATTTTATCATTGCATACAGGAGAGAGAAGCCTTTGGGAGACAAATTGGGCACAAGAGGAGGTATTCCTGTTCCCTTTTTAAAGGGAAAATCAAAACTTACAATTCTTGACCTGTGTTAAGCAAGTTGAGAACAAAGAGTTATTCATGAATATTCAGAAAGAATTTGTATCTCACTAGGAAGTGGTGTTCTAATGTGATGTAGGTAACTGCTTACTAGGGAAAAGAAAATATTGGGGAAATTTTCCCTGGTAAATACTGAGAAAAAATATTTTCTTCCCTATTTATATCGCTATTTATATAAACATAATATAGAATTAAAATGCCAGGTGAGATTTCTATAGATCAGATTTCCTCTTTAGGAAAGTCACTAAATTTCTACCGGGGGTATATAAAAATGGAGATGAGTAGCTATGATAATCCATACTTACTGCTTGAACTTAGTGAGAGTTTGTTTAGCAGGAGTACCTACAATGTCGTGGATTTTTGATATTTGGTCCAGCTCATTCGATCCAGGAAAGAGAGGCTGTAAACTGCAAGCAGAGATATTAGTGCTAAGGACCACAGGGCTGAACTAGTTTAAGTGGCACAGCTGCCACTGAGGCAACAGGAAGGGAAGGCTTGGGCTTATTTATTTGCAGACRGCTTAATACCAGACAAGTGAAAGATAACAAGTGGGTTGTTAAAAAGAAACCTGTAGTTACCCTATCATCATGATTTTGAGKGTAAGATATGTAAAAAATTCATTCCCTGTGCTGAAATATAATGGATAATGCTTTATTCTAGTAAAGTAGCAGSCCCCAGGAGCCAAGTTTTCCTTTCTAAGGCAGTAGAAGTGAGCAGTCCCTCTTGCTGTATATGCACGAATAGATGTATATTTATAAGAAAAGCCTCATGATTAACACAATTGTCTTTGTGAGCAACAATACTGCAAAGATGGTAATTTCAATTGCACTCCTGAGCTTGACCTTCAGGTAATGTAAAATTTGCATGAGATTATTGATTTTTTCTTTTTTTTTTTTTTTAATGCAGCAATCTGACTTAAGTTAGGTGCACTATTTTCTTGCGTATTTTGCCTTTTTCAATATTGGCAAAGTCCCCAAATGAGCTATTATATCAAATGTTTTGTTTGACAGCTGCTTTAAGAAACATTTGTTCAGGAGCACTAATTGATTCTTGAAAGCCAAACATTCCGCCCTCTCTGTAGAGGGGGAAACCTCTTCTAACTGTCTGCAAATTCAGGAAGGCAGCCGGGCCCTTCTCGGAAGCTCTTCCCAAAGCTCGGAGAGGCAGGAAGTCTGGTGGAGGTTGAACAGTTCGAGCTCCTGAAACAGGAGCAGTTGGGAGTTGCTCCTCTTGAAAGGCAGAGCTGCTCTTCAAATGTAAAGCTCTAATTTAAGGAAACACAACTGTACCATCCCAAAGATGTAAAATCAAGGAGTCCAGACTGATAAGGAACATAAAGAGGGCAACCAAGGTTTGAAAGGTATGTCTGGCTGAGTAAAGATTAAAAGCATTTTTAAACTCATGTTTTAACTTTRAAGTCTTACAGTTTACGTTTAAAGTCTTACAGTCTTACTTTAAAGTTCATCAGCAAAAATACTGTTGAACTTTAAACAAGAATGACAAAACACATGGGAGAAAACTGAATATCTGTCTAGAGCTTCCATTATCTTGGCAAATCTTTTTTTTTTTAAATGTAGTTATTTCCAATTCACATTCCTTATTTCTCTTTCTATAACCAATCACAAATATACCTGTCAGGTCACTGGGAGTGTACAGTAGTTGCAAATTTGTTAGGTGATGCTGAAACTATGATTCATATCTATGTATTTTTGCCCCACAAAACTTCAAGGTTGCAGCATGTCACTTCCTTGCAGAACTTCCAAGTCCACCTGCTTTTCATTGCAATGGAAAGATGGCATTTTTAAAGTTTCCCTATTTTCCTTGGTAAGAAATTTGAGATTTTTCTGTTACCAGTTTTCTGACCAAGGTAAAGCTGTTTGTACAAGTCAGCAACCAAAGCACCCGGGCTGTCATTTAAGGTGCTGCTGATGGCAGCAGCTGCACTTGCCATGTGGAGGAGGAGGAGGACAGCAGCGAAGCAAACGCTGCCACCCCTGCCTGTGTGTGAGAGGCAGCAGTGTGGGAGGAGAGGAGAGAAGAACTGCTGCTGTTGCTAGGGCACAAACATGGTGAAGAAATGCTTACAGTGGCTATTTTGGGGGTTATTTTTTCCCTTTTCTCTTGAAAGCCAAACCCAATTTCCTTTTTGAATTACAGTTTTTACATCTTTGAAAAACTTAATTAAATCCCTTTATTACAGGTTTTCTTGAACTCTTTGATTAGATCTCAGCCTCACAGTATTCCAGGACATAAGGTAAGAGGACAAGGTTCTTGAACCATTTTATAAACCATTCTAGTCACTCCAAGAGATGGCCTTCTCTAGACTCCTCTGTTGCTGCCAAAGAGTAAGTCAACAAAAGAGGAAAAAAAAAATATCATGAAGTAGATTAAAAAGATTGAGCATAGTTGGCCACGCTCATGACAGGAAGTAAGCCCTATTCTATAAGTTCAAAGATAATGTAGACAAAAGTCATTTTTATCAAACTTAACTATGAAGCCAGTGAACCGCTGTTCCAGCAGATACTGCCCCAGTAGCTACTGTGGTATTGATACTATTTTGTCTGGACTTCCTAGAGCTTTATTCTTAACCCACCACGAAGTGAGGCGAGTACCCGACAAGGCAGGGTTATTGCTTCATGAACCCTGCAGAGTAATCAAACACGGAACTTCCATGAATCCAGAGAAACAAAGATCCTATTACTCATACCCTGTGCTGCTTATATGCTCTTCTCGATAATAACAAGCAAGACCCTTTGGTTAACACTGTACCTTGTGATCTCATAGAACACGCAGCCAGCGCTCCACATATCCATTTTGTAGCTATAGTAGCCATCTGTAAGCAAGCACTCAGGGGCTCGGTACCAGCGCGTGGATATATATTCTGTGTATGGCTGCTTTGAATATATGCTTCTACACGATCCAAAATCTCCTAACTTGAGGGTACTCTGCTGCAAAAGTAAATAACACATTTTAACAAATTAGAAAACAGTGAAATATTCACGTAAAGAATTGTCTTAGATGTGTGAAGTGATCATCATAGAGGTAATCACAGATTGCTGGAGAATAACGTTTCAGAAACCCCAGGGGATTATACAGGCATAATAATATACAACAAAAAAATACCTCCCTTATAGCAGATGTTTCACTATGGCAGTATGAAACAGTGAAACATCATRGAAATACGGAGTAGCTCCCAGGCTTGAAGATGTGTCCCATAATTAGCACAAACAGCTTTCTGTACATCATTAAAAGACAGAACTAAGAGTTAAATGTACAACATATGGACAACTACTGAAGGGAAGACTGCTAAGGAGAACATCTGGATAAGATATTTCCTTAAAGTTATTGTGCTTAGCAGTGATATAAGAGGTGGTTTTGCTCCTCTCTGGAGAGGTTTCTCCTGTGCTCATCTAAGACTTAYAGGAAAAATCTATCTCTGGAAAAATAAAAGCTTATAAATTGAATTTTAAAATCCTCACTCTTCAAACATTAGCAAAATGGCTCTGAAACTATCACAAAAATAGATTTCAATAAAGCAATCACTTGAAAACTAATGTCTTCACAGCTCTCTTTTGTATGAATAACTTCCCCTAGGCTTTGAAATTAAATGGAGAAGGAGAGATGTAGAACTGAGCCTTATCACTTGTCTTTAGGATAACACAGAAAGGAAACACATATTCATACCTGATACAGAACAGGTTTCTAGACTGGGTTGAACACAGGCTAGTTATAATGCGACTGATTCCTTTTAGCCAGTATCAAACTTGCTTTTCATTGTGCTCTATCGGGAGCAAGATAACAGAGCCAAGTGTGCACTTAYATAAATGTATATATTTTTCAACTGCCTTTTTATTCATGATGATGCATTATGTTCTCAGAGCAGACAGAAAAATACTGATACACTTCACTACCAGCTCAAATATTCTCACAGATTAGTTACCTTTATTAATATGTTTTCTGGTTTCACATCTCTGTGAAATATTCCGTTTCTGTACCAACATAAAGACACCAAAGAGAAGAGTTTAGTGAAAGGATAAACATTCTCATTGCTTCCAATTATTGGTAGGGATAATAATTAAAAAAAAAAGCTTCCTTAATATTGGCAACATAGTAAGAAATAACAGTAATTTTGCCACCAAGGTGGGACAAGGGAGGCAGCTGGGGGAAAGGAAGGGGCCTGGAGGAGGAGCAGGTGCAGGGCCAAGGGTGGAGGCTGCTGCTCTGGCAAGAGCAGCACAGGGGCGGGAGGCCCCTGGCCGCAGCACCGGCCACAGCAGGGACCTGTGAGGTCCCCTCGGAGCGCTGGCTGCAGCAGGGACGTGTGAGGTCCCCTCGGAGCGCTGGCTGCAGCAGGGACCTGCGGGGTCCCAGCTGGGTCCAGAGGGGAGCCCGCAATGAAGGCAGGATAGACCTACTGCAAAGCTGCTGCGGAGCGAGGGCTCTTACCTGTGGATATGATCCAGAGACTTGCATAGCTGGTACATGTAGCTTATTATTTTTTTTTCAGGTAAGGGCTTTTTCCTTCCTAGAATTAAATTTCAAGTTGTACAAGTCCCTTTTTGCAAATAATAGAATACAAAAAAAAATTCTTCTTTAGCTTCCAAGAATATATTGATACCGCCTTTTCCAGTTAGACTATTGTGTGATTTATAGATAGCTTTATAATCAAATTTCCACTGGAATTAGGACAAAATTTCAATTTCAGGATACACTAGAACTGATCAACACAATTGCCAATTCAATGGCCTATAACCTTCCTCAGCTTTTACTGCCTGCTTTGAAGAGACCTGGGAAAGGACACTGCTTCAGACTATTAAGTTTTATTATAGTAATTTGCAATACCTATTTATCCAATAGAACTGGAAATCCAATCTGAACCAGAATATTTCATGTCTAAAGGTCTACTTTCCTCTCTAAACAAAGTAACTGTCCTTAGGGGTTAAAACTCATATCAGTCATTTCAACTTAGTGCAATATTTAAATGACTTTGATTCTCATTTCACTTGCAAATCGCAGGTCAACCCATGTAGTTTAACCTGCTACTGCTGCTGTGCAATAATAACAGTTATAAAATCAATCTATTTTTCAAACCATTCAATAACTACTCAGTTTTTTCTTTCATAGGCTCCAGAGGCCTTTTAATCTTTCTGTAATGCTGTTATATAATGCTGCAATGTCATCAACGGAAGCAGAAATGGCCAAGATTTGGGGGAAAACAAAAACCAAAACAACGCAAGTGGTGATCTGCATGATGACAGGAGGATGAGTAATTGGCTGGAGAAGAGGAGGGAGATTATGAGGACACTAACGCACTGAGCATGCAAGTCCCGGCAGGACCCGTGTTCCCAGCTGATCGCGGCGCTCCCCCGGTCCATCACCATAATCCACTGAGCAGGATTAGGTAACAAGCCCTGGAAACAGAGTACTGGGGACATGAGGAACTGTAAATGGTGTTTTCCACAACAGGATTTTTATTTGCAATAGAAAAGATAAAATTTTGATAATATTTCTCTATTCAAACCAACTCTGATTATTATCAGTATTTAAGGACCAAACACGGGTTCATAATGAAAGACACACGCAATTGCTTTCTCTTTACAGGTCCCTACTAAAAGGTGAGCCCATGCTCTTCCACCTTCAGATACATCATCAGAGAAACCTTATTTGGAAGTAATTAAGAAGTGAATCACAAGGGGGCAGCACTTGTGGTCGGAAGCAGTTTGGTTTAAAGCATCTTCACCTCTCTCTGAACCTTATTTTTTCATCACTTTAAATGACAAGACTATTCTCGATTAAACAAAAGGCAGGATTGATTTCTAATTATTAAATTATTGTGATATCACTATAAATTAATAGCAACGGAATTATGATTTTGCATAAAGACAAATAGCCTTAATTGAAAGACCATGAATCCGTCACAGGAATTAAGGAAAACCCAAAAGGATCAAATTTTCCGAGTAACATTACAGGGAACTGTCTTCCAACTACAAAAATGTCTCCATACACTTTGTTAAATTTGAGGTAACGGGTACAAATTGAAACACAGGAAGTTCCATCTCCAGGTGAGGAGGAACTTCTTCACTGTGAGGGTGACAGAGCCCTGGCACAGGCTGCCCAGGGAGGTTGTGGAGTCTCCTTCTCTGGAGATCTCCCAAACCCACCTGGATGCCGCCCTGTGCCCYGTGGAGCAGCAGGGCTGGACTAGATGATCTCTAGACGTCCCTTCCAATCCCAACCATTCCGTGATTTTCAGAAATTAGAAATTCATTCTCTGTGTTTTGAGTTTTTCATTACAAAATTTTGTATAGATCATGCTAGCTTGAAATTTTTCTGACTTAAGGCTTTTTATAGTTGCTCTGCACCTACATTAAACTTTTCTAAGTTTTATATGATTTCATACACTTCATGTAAACTTTTTAACTTTTCTATTCAAAATTTCCAAGGTTCATAATATTTGAAAAGTGACAAGTGTTAGCATTAGCATACAGTGTAGGAGTATACAAGTCTACAAATTGTCTGAAAAATAAGTAATTTTATATACTCTGCAAACAGTTTTCTGACAGATCATCTATAATACATACAATTCAGTTCTACATCTTAAAATTATAATACTGAAAATTACAAAGGAACCCCCTCTAATTGTGATTATCATCCAGATATTGCCAATCAGTAAGTGTTATGGGTCAAAATTAACTTTAATTTTCAATCTAACTACATTCTTGGAAATATTTATTATTTAAAATGACTGACATAATGCTACGTGCGAGAGAAAAAGAAAGAAGTCCAGTAATTCTGTCCAGTAACAAACTGYGGTGTTGACACCTATGTCCACCTTGCAACTCATAAATGAATTTCTGAAAAAGGCATTACTTCTAAAATGTTAAAACATCTGACACATTCAACTGAAACACTTTAATACTCAGAAACACCAAAATCCTTTGTTTTAACTCTCTTGTTCAACTGTGTATTTCTTTTCATTGTAATCAGAATCTCAGTAGGAATCTGCTGTTAATTTTGTCATTTTACTATGTGGTTTGACAATACCCCATGCAGGGTGAAAACAGCAGTTTGTCATGGGAAACACAGTCAAATAAAATGCAGCTTGTAAAGAAGAAGCTCTGTGGAAGTTTAGGTACACTTAGATTAATGTTTTGGTAACTCCTAACGGTACCATTTCAGATCATGATTGAACCAAGACATCATTTCAAAGTGATTCACCATGAAATAACTCCTTAAAAAAAACAAGTTGCAGGACAAATATCTTCCTACAGAAAAGCTAAATTTGATAAAAGAAAGCTTTTTATTCTAAAGGTAAAGAATAGAGCAGAGCAAACTGCTGAGACTGCTAGACTTATTTCCATTTCCCACTGTAGGCTCTTCACATGAAATGTGTGAAAGTGAAAGAAATACTTTAAAATGAACACCAACTGAAAGCAAATACTCTGGGAAGAAAAGAACAGTCAAAGCATAAACCCTAATATTTTGATTTTTACAACTGAAATACAGTATCTTTCCTGGAAGAAGATGCAGGATTGCTTTTAATGCACTAGACTGGTTTACCATCTATGARGGTTCCTTCCTATATTGTACTGCTTCATATCCTTCATAACCTTTGTACCACAAGTTTATCCTGGTACAATAAAATACCTTATTAAAAACAGCAGATATCCTTGACTACTCCTGGGACAGCAAGCAGAGTCACAACAACTGTATCTTAATCTCTATCTAGGTCAGGGAAAGGGTTACTCTCTTTGTTAGAGGTCTCAACACACAATTTCACTCCAAAATTTTAAATCTAGGGGTGTTCAGGCAGTAATGTGATTTTACAGCAAAAACCTAATAGAAGGTACTAGGTATTAAAAAAATCTTTTTTAAATTGATCTGGTAATCCTTTGAACARAGGCAAATTTCTTATTGTTTTATTACAGTCTTGACATAACAAGCAACCTATTTAAATGGTGTTCTTGCTTTTTATATRAGGCAAACATTGTGTTTTGCAATCGGAGTTGTTCCCTTGTTTGCCTGTCAGGTTTGACTGTASAAATAAATGGCCATTGCTCTGACTCATTAGCAACCTTCTGCATTAATCCATGCTTTTAAAAATGGGGTATATTGCATATAAATAATGTGTAAAACAATACAGCAGAAATTCTTGCTCTATAACTCATCGTATATAACTGAACAGCTAAGTGAAAAAAAAATCCACTTGTGATCTTCACAAAGAGAGTTTATATATTCCTAAAGCATATGCTACATACCTCTTATCAGCTCATAAATATTCATGTCCATTAGTTCACATATCAGTGAGAGAGAGCCAGCTTTTTTATCGCTGAAGAAACAAATAAGGAGACTTTAGGCTAGAAATGAAATTTACAGGTTGATTTATAAACAGCATAGAAAAATAATACTAAGCTTAGTTTAATCAGCTTTAAAAATATTTTCATTTTTAATTGGTATTTTCTCATAGAAGTTTTTGAACTTGAGATCTGAAGTATCATAAGTTTAGCCTATGCTATCCAATTGCTGAGTGTCCAGTGCAAAAGTTAACTGATTTACTCTGTGAAGCTAACAGAATGCACGTCTTCTGGGTACCCCATACTGGTTAATATCAAGAAATTTCCAGTAAATTAACTGATACAATCTTAGAACATAAGATAGAAAAGTCCTTATGCCATGTATGAAAACACTAGTTATGTCACCAAAACTGTTCTGTTCCATGAAAATGAGCATCTGATTGGGCTCTACATTTTGTTGCCAACAGCAGCTTTAAGTATTCTCACAAAATGTCACTCTACCTGACACTATTTTCCATTTCAGGGTGTGCAGACACAGATGTCTTCTGCCCTTTAGCTTTACTTACGAGKGGATAATTCCATTAAAGCACATGCCCTCTGCAGTGTTCCATTAACCCAGACAGCAAAAGGTTGAGGGTACAATCTGCGATCCACTTTGGAGCCAGGCTGTGAGAGAGGGGCAGGGCGGGCTGCCCATCTGGACCGCGCTTAGTCAGCAACGCGGCAGCTGAACCTGAGGACTTCCAGAAAGCCGAGCTGCTGCTGCCATTACCAGCCTCTCCACAAAAAAAAAAAAGGGGGGGAAAAAAAGCAGTCAACGAGTTGTGTTATGTATTTGGATAATGAACTACATGTCTGTTCTTGCGTGGTGATGGAGTGAGACTCCCAACAATGGAATAAATGCTGTCATAAAACCAATTTCTTTGTGCGGCAGAACGTGTCCTCAAAAGACACTTAGGTGCCTAATGAGGCAGGAAGGAACCCGGCCTCGCCACCGACTGCTGTCTGCTCAGCTTCCCAGCTCAGCGGCTGCCTCATTCAGCTAGCTCAGCTTCTTGTTGTGCAAAGGGGTGCCCGTAAGGGGAGCTACAAACCAATGTCACTGTTTCAGAGTGACAAATTAAAGCCCAATCCTGGATGTGCAGAGCTTGCTCCAGCAGACAGGCTCTGGGCCCGCTTAGATAAAACGTGGTGTCTCGTAGACATGAATGAAGTTGTGAGCTGATTTAGGTGTGCATTTACCTGCCTCATTTCTGCTCCTTCTGCAAAACAGACTATTCAACASTTTGATAGCTAAAGCATGTTTTGGATGTGGGAGCTATAGGTCCAAATCACTAGCATGTATTATATATTATAAGAAGCTTCCATGGTTAAAATGTCCCTAGACTGTCACATTAATACTGATGCTGAAGTGTTTTTCAGAGCTGGAACAAATGAGAACTACATCAAGTCCATTTAACAACAACAACAACAACAACAACAAAAGCACGAAGACTTGAGAATTTGACAAACCTGCTGTTTTTCCTTTCTGTTGGAATAAAAAGCTGGTTAAATCCCCACAGGTTGTCTCTAGACTCAAAAGTTACTAGAAATAAAGGAATTAGGAAAAAGGAAATGAATACACCATACTTACAAAATAACTTCATGTAACATAAGGATATTAGGATGTGGATTCAGCCGCCTTAGTGCTTGTATTTCTCTCAGATTATTCACTTGTTCAATACTAAAGTTGAATTAAAAACAAAAACAAGTGGAAGACTGACATGCAATCAGGGACTGATCGTTTTTTCCTGCCATAAGACTGTCAGAACCCCCTCCACTGTGGTCTCTACTTGAATTCTTAAATAAAGAACCAGATAAATTATTTGTCTGCTTCTGCTTATTTTTTTTTTTTTTTTATAGAACAAATCCATAGTCTGGAAAATTTGTCTTTATTCCTTGTAGCCGTCCAGAGTAGCTGGGCTTACCTGGACAGGGTAAGTAGTGATATATTGTTGATAGGCCACAGAGATCAATTGGCTTCCAAGGAGACATCTGGGAGGCATTTTGGGACTCACATTATGATGATACAGTTGTTCCTGAGCAGGTTTATCAAACACACCAACTACTGCTCAACATCATGCCAAAAGTGGCAGTCTAGCCTTCCCCCAAAATAACATTTACAAGTAAGTTTTAATGCTAACCCTTTATGCAAGAAATAGACACTATTCAACTTCTCAGTTTAAATATTATGTTGCCCTGCTAGGTGTTGATAAACAATAAAATTGCATGCTACAGAAACTCAGGGAGTATAAGTAGTTTTGCACACTATTTAATAAATCAGACCAAGGCATGTATGTCTTTTCAGTCCGACTTGCTAAAGCTAAACGAAACACCAAATCTTTATATTCCACTTGAATCTAAGTATATCGTATGGTTATGTTTTGTTTAAAACACCATTCTCTCTTGTTGAAATATAGCATTTCACCAAAAGAATGCCAGTCAATTTCTCAAAGGATTAAAAAGCCTAAAAGACCTTTTAACTATGCTACATGAAAAGAAATGTCAGCTTCTGATGTTCTACCACTGAACTGTATACCACCTGCCCTTGGTGTAAGAGCATTTTTGATCATAAATTGGACAAATTTGGTCAGTAGGAGATAATGTATAAATGGACCAAAAGTTTTCTACCATAGAGCAGAATATCAGAAGTCACGTTCTTTCAAGATATTTGGGGTTTGTTTGTTTTTTCACTTACAGTGTTTTTTTCAAACCTCCATTTTCCTTAGTCTCTGGAGCTCTGAGTTACATTATGGAATCTCAGCTATGGGCAAAAGGTCCCATTTCATTCCTTTCTTACAAATGTGTTGCTCCCACTGACAGCAATATGAAATTAATATATTTAACTAAGAATACAAAGTCACCAACCCAAAAGGCAGTGTTTGGTGCTTAATCTTATGGAGAATGTCAATGCAAGGCTCCAATCACTTCCACATTGTCCTCTCATCTATTTTTCCAGCTGATAAAAAGTCAGAATGCTCTTTCATGACTATGTATTATCTTGCTGATGGACGTGGTCAAATATAGTATTAGCTCTACCTAATACTTGCAATTATAAATGGACTAAGGATAAATATATAGGTTTTGACTCACATTAAAGCATGAAATTGAAGATATATATTTATCCAATAGGGTGACGGGAGGTGGGAGGCATTTAAACGTTTTCTCCTGCTATTAGGTAGTGCAGGGAGAAAACCAAGGCAAGCACGTTCAGTGTATGTGGAAAGCAGAAATAACCTATTTAGCCCTCATTCCTCTCACTTCACACTTGACCCAGTCGCTGTCAGCATTCGCTGCAGGGGGTGGCATCAACTGGAATATTCACTGAAATAGCCACAAAGCCAAGCAGGAAGTCCCCCCATTTTTTCTTTCTATACTTTATGCAAACCTTTTTAATATATGTGTATTCGGAAATACCTAGTCTCAAATTCACATTTCCCCACTGAATTTAAATAAAATTTCCAGTAATAGTAAGAATAATTATGCATACCTTTCAAAGTGTTGTTTCATATGTTTACATGCATAGTATTTTCCATCCCTAAGATTTAGCATCTTCAGAACATCAGAAAATGTTCCCTCTCCTATCTTACCAACAGCTCTATATTCTAAAAAACAAAAACATGCTGTTTCAGTATGCTTAAAATATACATTTTCATAAACACTYCATATCAATCTTTTGTTAGATTGTTAGAATTGTTAGATTATGATTCCTGGCATATTAAACAAACAAGCTGCTTCTTTTTTCTTTTTTGTTAACACACCATTTGAGAGAAAAATAAAGTGAATAAAAGCAAATGGAATTTTGCTGCCCATATTACAGCAATTCACACTACCAAAAGTAAAATACAGTAATCCAGTCTTGGAGAATTAACGACTATCTCTGTGCTCAGACACATGATGCCTCTAGACACAGCACTGAAATAGCATCCTATTTTTCTGGTGTGACACATTAGCAACTCATAACTAAGTTTAGTCTTTGTCTCTTTCACCAGGAATACTTTCTGTTTGCCTTTCACCAAATGCATRCAATTATTTTTTGAAATGTAGGATATATTGGCTTTTTTTTTTCTGCTGTGTTTTTAGCACAGTAGCTACTGATTAAAAAGAATTATCCCCATATTAAAGTCAGATACGGGCTAAAAGCTTAGCTTTAATTTTGAAGTGCATGAAATATCAGAAACAAGGATGGGAAAGTCAGTAAATTCTAACTTCACATATTTTTAAGAGATGAAGCAGATAGCCTAAGGGTAATAAAGACAGTTTCATTTAAATTAATTCCCGCATCTTTTCCTGACTTCTTGCAGAATTGATGTTCCTCTTCTTCCCTCTTTTTTCTCTTTCAGCTTTGTGATTAAGTTTTGCCTTACCAATCCCCCTCACCCCCTCTGCCCCCCCTTTCTCTTTATTTTTAGCACCTACAGCTTCTATTCTTGATAATTCTTCCAGTAATTTCATCTCAGGAAAAGATGATTCTGAGTAGCTTTATGCTACTGCTGCTTTTGACAAGCCCTTATTATAAAAGAAAGAGCTCCAAAAACAGTCATGTTGGGGGAAGCAGAGAAGGAAACCTCTTATCCAACCTTCTAGGGGAGTCAGAATGACTGTAGGAGCCTTGGACTATGTGGAAGCTGCAAATTCAGTGAAATGCAATTGCTTCTATTGGTTCCTGTGACATGGACCTTGGCATGGATCCTGCCCACGCCACCCAGTCCTCTCGTAAGTACCTCCCTAGCCTGTCACAAGGAGTGAGGACCTTCTAAAGTTGTTCCTCAAACACAGTTTTTTGATTTTTTTTTTTTTTTTTGGGGGGGGGGAAGAGAGAATTTTTTTGCAGGATAAGGTAAGAGAATTTATTAGCAGAGATGTTGGGCCAATTCCTGCCTCTGTGTCAAAGAACATTTCCAACTGTGTTTGATTTACAAGTATAAATACAGCCTCAGAGGAGAGAAAACCTGCCTTCTCCAGAGCCAAGAGATTTCACAGAGGAAAGTCATTCAGGCAGGAAAATTCCAATTACATCTTTCAAACAGCAACCAAGCTGCTCGTCTTCATCTCTTCTCCTCCCCAACCTTCATATTCATTTTTACAAAAATAAATAAATAAACATCCCTTTCCTCGTGATCAAAATGCTCACCTGTTGCTTGTTTTAATTATTACCAGAAAGTCCCAAACCCTAAGCTTTCCCACCATTCTGTGATTCCCCATATAATATCCCCTTTCTCCAACATAGCAGCTGCATTCTGARACAGTGTCCTCTGCTCTTGTCATTTTTATCATCTGTTGCTTAGATTCCCTCTAATCATCAGCATCCCATGCTGTTCCTCTGTTGGAAACATTCTTGTCTCCCAAACTGCCTTTAAAAGCTAAGTCCCTCCAGAAATTCAAATACCCCTCTCATTTTCTATGCACACTTTCCCTTTATCCCCTTCAACTGACAAACTGGGYCATCTAAATTAGAAACACAAGAAAAGCAGATCAGCTTGTAAACCGTGACACTGTCAAATGTTCTCTATGAAGAGAACATACATACAAACTTCTAAAAATAGAAACAAAATTTGAAAATCATTACTGGTATATGAGGAGATGCTCCAAAATAGGGAGGAGACCATGATATTCTTTAATGGTAACTGTTATTCAAGAGAATTGCTCAATTGACAGTGCAAAGAAGGTGATSTGGGGATCACCTTGCTCAGTAATGCTGCTTAGTGATCGTTTATGCRCTTTGCTAGCAAGATCACATTTTGTACTGTTTCCTTTACCTCTCCTCATTTAATTTTCTATTTAAATASCTATATATAAGCATGGAGATCATAAATTAAAAATACTTAAATCTCTCTCTTTCAGAGCTCTTTAAGAAAAATTGCCAAAAGATTTTTTTTTTGGTAGAAACTATCACACCAGCCACACACACGTTGATTATGCTGTATGTTCACACAATGTCAGAGTCATTTTCTGTGACAAAAATATCCAAGGCAGCTACAAAAACAATAGCTCTTTCCTGACCTAGTAGCTTCTAACAAATCGCAATGATATTCTTCTGTATTTTTCTTGAATGCAAGCAATAAAAAAAAAGAAAGTTAAATGAACTGAAAACAAATTAAGAATTTCTAGGGTATTATGGCTTTATGTGTTAAAGATTCAAAGTACTTAGGCAAAGAAACACAAGTAAAGCATTACTTTATAAATTTATTTAAAGGATCAAAAATATATAAATAGAAATCAGATAGGATATGTTTAATTTCTTGCTTATATTTTAACTTATACATTTTTTTTCCTAAAGAATTCCACATTGCAGTGGAGGGCTCACAAGCATTTTTTTTTTTAAACTGAAGTGTTCTAATAGCACAAGCTCTTTATTCACTCTTAAACATTCTTACAAAACTAAAATATTTTTCCATGTAAATGGTGCACGGTATAGTATCTTAATCTTTACAAAAGTAATCTAGCCACATACACACACAAATACACATATAGCAAACACATGAGGCTTTCACTTGGCAAACACTTGGCAAAAGCTTCCAAGAGAACAGTTGTCCTCTCCACCAGCAAAAGGAAAGACATTAAAGACCTAAATAATATCGATTCAGTGAAGGGCAGAATCAGGAATGAAAACTGCATTATTGGAAACTTCTTTCTGAGGCATAAAAATCAATATGTAAACTCTCAACAAAACATGAGAGGCCACTGCAGATGAGAGACCTTTTCTCCTAGGGAGAAAATGAGAGAATGAACACGTTAAGGTTAGTTACTGCTTAATACAATACTGAAAGGAACTCAGATATTGTAAAGATAATAGTGTAACTGTTTATATAAAGATTTAAACTTGGAGTGTATTAATAAGTTAAAGCAAATTTTGAATTTCTGTTCACAAGCAAAAAGACAGCGATTCAGGGACAAAGACAAAAGTTCTACTGACTTCAAACACTGAAAGAGAAAAAACAGGTTAAGCACTTCAGTTTTAAGCACTGAAGCTTACTGCATCTACAAAAGAAAGCTAATCACCAGCCAGTTTAAATCTGAATTTGTGATAGTCTCAGGTGAACAATCACGGAAGTTTTAAAAATGTTATGAGCATTCCAAGAGTGAAACTTCAGAGAAGAAGGGGAAGAGTAAAAMGTGTCTTAGTTGTATATAACACTGAAGAATAAAGCCCAAGCCCAGCTGGTGGTTTTTTCATGGCACCTCTACCAGGCTGGATACCCATCCTACTATTCATCCTCTCTCCTCTTTCCCCTAGTTTCCAGCATACACAGATGTTAGGCTTAGAATGGAGAGCAAAGGCAGAGAACGGTTAGGGAAGAGGAGTAAAACTCTACAGAAACCAACCAGGTGAGCAAAAAGATAATAGCAGAAGTTACCTGTAAACCTATAAGTAAAGAGAATAAATTGGAGCAATTCAAATTAGTCTAACACCACAGAAACAGGCATGTGAAGGACAGATAAGTACTCTCTCAATAGTACAACTTAATATGAAATAGACTGCAGGACTGAGGAAGTTAGGAACAATTTAAATGAAAACATGGGCAAGGGATGGAACTCGGAGATTAGACCCACAGTGCTTTATTTGGAGAACACAGAAAATCATTTTTAATTTGGAATTAAGGAAATGAACAAAAAAAAGGAAAAGTTCTGAAAAAAATACCAAAATGGGATAACATTTTGTTGGGAAGATGCGGAGATGCCAAGGAAGAAAAAGGCACAGCAYGTGCACATAACAAAGATACACATGGGGAGACAGGGAAACCAAAACAACTCAAGGGCACAGATGAGAAGTTCAGGTTCCCCTGAACACGCTGACAGGCCGTAGCACACAGGCAGTGCACTCAGTGAACATGCCAAGCACATGGGATATGGTATGGAACGTGTGGAAAAGCAGGGTACGCAGCRGGAGGGCTTGCACACCAAGCAAAGAATGACAAAAGTTAGGGGATTCTGATCAAGTAGGGGGAGGAGCCGGGGACAAGGAAGCTGCTAATTCACGGGGCCGCAGGGAGGTTTGTTCGCACGCTGCTGAGGACACGGACGGGGACACGGGAAGAGCAGGGCCCGGAGCTCACCGGGCACCGCCGGCCCCCCAACCCTCTCAGGAGAGACCCTCTGCCCGCGCCCCCGCGCGGAGCCCGCTGCCCTCCCCTTACTGTTCATCCTCGGCTCTCCTGCAGGTCTCCCGGGGCGGGCGAGAAGGCGGCCGGGCCTCCGCTAAGCGCCGAGCGCCTCCCGGCCGACCCCTCAGCCCGCCATGTTGTGTCCCCGTCGCCTTGGCAACCGCGCAGGCTCCGCTACCCTCGCCGAGGCCCCGCCCCAACGCCCAGGCGGCCGCGCACGCGCAGTGAGCGCCTGGGTGGTGACGCCAGCGCAGCGGCACGCTGCTCACGGAGCATGCGCACTACTCCACCCYGCCTCCCGCTGCGCATGCGCAGGGTGGGGGGCGGCGTCGCGACCGTTAGCTAGGCTGTTGGTGGCGGTTGATGCCGTTTTTTCTTCTTGTACCTCCGTGCGTGTGCGGTGTTTTCTGCCAAGCGGATTTTCTCCGTACGCCTGGCTTGTCCCTTTTATCAGTAGATGAGGRTGTTGAGCCTCGCGCCTGTGAGGAATTAGCATGTGCGATCCTGGGCTTGGGCTGGTAAATGCGCCATGAGGCCGGGGGCAGCGTTTTTGGTGTTTGCGGCTGTCGGTTTTCCCTCATGCTGCCGGTGCAGGTGGCTGCTCTTCGGGCCCGGCAGGCCCAGGCGAACGGGGTTTATCTCTGATGGTCGTCTGCTCTCTAGCGGCGCTCGCGAGCTTCAGCGCCGCCCAAACCGCTTAAAAACTCCCTGTTAGATCTGGGAGTCTGCCCCAAGTAGATGGGACAAGGACCCCGTGAAAGGCGCGAGGCAATGGTAGTGTGTCTCCTGAAACATCCAGCCTTCACCACGCTCGGTGCCTCTGTGCGCTCGCGCTCCCCAACGCAGGCGTTTTGAGGAACGTTGTAGGCACCGTCCTGAAATACAATGCAAAAGGAGGCTACTGCTGATGCCGAAAGGAGGAGCTGCAAATACCAGGGAGATCTGAAATCCCAGGTACATCCCAGTGGAGTTTTAATAATTGTGTGAGTTAGAGGCATGCGTGTCTAATGACAAAACAGCACAAAATTAGCACAAATTACAATTTTCGGTTTCTCCAAATCCTTATGTGGATTTTTCTGTAAGCCATACGGAGTTGTACAGCCTTGTGTTACCTCCTGATAATACCTCTCCACTTTTTTATTCTTCTGAGTTGCACAGACCTGAACTAGGAGATCACTCATTACATTTGCTTCTAAAGTTCTTACAGAACATTACAGTTACTTTTGATACCTGTTAAAATACTCTGTGGGTTACCATTCTAACACAACTGTAAATTCTGACATTCTGATGTGCTCCCCAGTGGTTTTGGGTGTCCGGTAGTGACAGTTAATCGTGGGTGATMGGCAGTTTCCACTCACTGCCTCGCGTGTGCTGCCTTTTGGTGTTGGTCGGCGCTGCAGGACGAGCGCKTTATCCTGCGGCCTCGTTCGAGCAGCGGACGGCGCCGGCCGGCTGCCCCGCGCCGCTGCCCGGCGCCGTGGGGGCCGCGGAGCCTTTGGGCCGCGGGCAGCGTCTGGCCCTGGGTTGTATTACGAAAGGAAGAGCATCGTTCGCGGCGGGCCGGTTAGCTCAGTTGGTTAGAGCGTGGTGCTAATAACGCCAAGGTCGCGGGTTCGATCCCCGTACGGGCCATGACATTTTTATTTCCACCGTTTTGAATTCAATACGTGCATTACTACTCCAGGCTCTTTTATCGAGGCGAGAGGCGGTTCGCGAGTGTTAAGCACGGCGGCGCGCCGCGCTCCGCCGGACACGCGTGGCCGCGCRGCTCCAGGGCAGAGGCCTTTTGCCCCTGCGAGGCCGCCGTCCTCGGCCCCGCCCCGTGAGGCGCGCGGGCGGGGCACCATTGGCTC